GCTTCAATTACTGAAGCAAGGGAGAATTACTTTTCGAATTCAAAGACAAACGTTCTAAAGGATCCCCAACTTGTGAGCTACGGCAACAGTTTAATATCACCTTACGACGGCAATTTACGTCCAACGAAACTTTTTGAATGTAAATAGCGCCGGCTCTGTCTCAGTAAACCTTGAAAGGGGTTCACAAATTTTCGGGAATGTGGATGAATTGTCACACAACAAAACTGCACAACCAAATGTCACGTTATATACCAGCGAACCACAAAGAACACAACAGCTATACAAAATTATACAATTTCCTTTTGACTCCCATCCAGTTGTTCAACCGCCTGTTATGTGTGACCCGTCTACAATCACTTTAAGACATTCAAAACAGTCGAGTCAAAGAACTGATTTTAGTTTCGTTGGAGAACCCGGTAAAGCAGATGCGTTTAGTTTTGTCCAAGATGAGATGGAAGCAAGAAAATCAATTTATGAGTAAAGTAATTTTGTTACTGAAAATGATTTATCAACGAAAAAACTTTATTTGACAAAGACGTTATAACAACAGTAGAATGCATCAAAGATGCCCAAAGACATAAAGACAAAAAGAAGTAGAAGTAGTTTATTTAAAGTGAGAGTTGAAGACAGTCGATTTTGTTTTATATAATAAGTTATGTTTGAATTAAATTTAGCCTGGAGCCTTTTAAGATGCCAGAGGAATAATATCTAGTGTTCGCAATGATGGAGGGAAATATTGTCAACACTCCTCGACGCCCTTCACATGTAGCGCTTGCCTTCCACTCACGCGAAAGGGCCGTCCGGCCAATTTCTAATTAACGTACTTCCGAAGTTGTAAATTCAACCTTTTATTTCTCGCCCGGATAAAAATCGCTTTTATTATTTAATATCTGGAAATGCCATCTTATGACATGAAATACTATTTACTGTAAAATCTCCTTTTCATCTACTATCAGTCACAGAAACGAACGGAACAAGGGCCATCGTTAAATAACCATGCCACTTCTTGTGTTACTAACATCCGCTCCAAAAATAAAAGGTCACCAGTTCTGCTTGGTAAGCGGACATAAAAAGGTATCATATTTAATCTGACTGATGTTTCTCTGAATCAAACAATACACGGGTGTATTTCATTTCGCTGTGATTTCGTAATCTGCCTTCGCGATGGAGTCTCTTGAAGAATCTCGAAGAACATGTCACTTGTTCCATTTGCCTGGATACTTACACCAAGCCTAAGACCATGGTTTGTCTTCATACCTTGCTTGAACTGTTTAGAGGAACACGCTTTCAGAACCAGTAGACGAGGACAATTTCTATGTCCCGATTGTCAGGCACAAGTGAACATTCCAGAAGGAAATTGTTTCGATAATTTGCCGACTGGTTTTCTGCAAAACAGTTTGTTGAGTCTTCTCGCAGTACGACAAAGTAGAGATGGAAGTCAGATCGGCTGTGGTAATTGTAACAAAGAGCGCCGAGATCAGCTATTGCTTTGCTTGCGAAAAGCGAGGTAACCAAGTTTTTTTGCCTTGAATGCCAGATTTGTGTTTGTCAAGTTTGTGTAAACACTGATCACAAGCATCATAATGTTGATCTGCTTGAGAAAGCAGCGGATGCCGAGAAAGCAAACATTAAGGCGGCAGTCGATTCGATAGAACAGAAGAAGAAAACCTCTAGCGATGCGATTATAACTTATCAACAAGTTGTTGAAGAGCTGGAACGAAATGTTACTGCTGCTAGAGGAGAGGTTTCCCAAACAGCGGAACAAATGATCGCGAAGATTCGAGAACACGAGCGGGAAGCTACAAAAATTCTCGAGAATATACGCGTGTCTAGAAGGGAAAAGTAAACTCTCTTAACGAGCAAGCAAAGTCATTGATCAGACAACTTGACCACAAGGAGCCAAAATGACCCTGGGCTCGAGATTGGTATAAGTCAATTTGAATATAAAATTGCAGTTTTTCATTGGATAACATTAATCAAGGTCAGCTGAGAGGAGGCTGCGGTTAGGTCCTATCTATTAGTGATAAGTATGACCGTCGAGAATATTGTTAAAGAGCATTCTACTTGTTGTGTGACTTAACTTCGGCTCCAAAAATAAAAGGTCACAAGGTTCGATCTGTTTGGTTGGCGGACATAAAGAGCTATTTAATCTGGCTAATGTTTCTCGGAATCACAAACAATACACGGGTGTGTTTCATTTCGCTCTGATTTCGTTATCTGCTTTCGCGATGGAGTCTCTTGAAGAATCTCAAAAAACATGTTACTTGTCCTATTTGTTTGGAAGGCCAAGCACTTCCGATGTAGTTAATTCGTCCTTTTATTTCTCGCCCAGATAAAAACGACTTTTACTATTTTATAACTAGAAATTCTTCCTTGTGACATCAAATACTAGTTACTGTAAAAAGCTCCTTTTTATCTGCTATCAGTTACAGAACAAGAGCCATTCCTAAGTAAACGTACAACTTATTGCGTTACTTACATCCGCCCAAAAATAAAAAGGTCACGAGGTTTAATCTGCTTGGTAGCCGAACATAAAAAGCTGTCATATTAAATTTTAATGTGGCTGGCCTACGTGTAGCCGTACCCTCCCCATTCACCTTGGCGGGGAGGGGGGGGGGGAGGGTAAGGCTACACGTAGGCTGTAATATGGCTGATGTTTCTTGGAATCACAAACCACAGGCAGACCACACGATGTGTTCCTGGTTAATAGTTGTCGACATGAGACGAACTCAATCAATATGGATTATGAATAAAGCTCTAAAATTCGCATATCTAAATTATATCTCGGTCTGGATATCTCAGTAAGGTTAAATGAAATGTTAATCAGCTAATCTGTGATATTTTTTAACCTCCGTGGGTCATTCGAAGCGTCTGTTTACGAAATTACTTCTGGCCGGAGGCCGTTAAGAGAAGAAAGAGAGACAAGGCTTGCATCTTGATGGCCGCCAGCCACGACCTCCTCCACTTCAAACTGGAATTAACGCCAAAATACTGAAAATCTCTCCTAACTAACGACGGTTGTTGATCGAAGAGATGTTGTTCTATTTCTTCGTTCACTTGCCAAAAGTAATTTTGTAAAAAGACGCTTCAAACGGTCCATGAAGGCTAAAAAAAGATCACAAATGCGTCGATTAACATTTCATTTATCTTTATTTAAATACTTAGACCGGGAGGTAATATAGATATGCAATTTTCAGAGTTCTATTTTCTTTATTCGTAACCCATAGAGATTTAGTCCCTCGATCTCAAGAAAACAATTATTAACCAAGAACACTTCGTGTGGTCTGGCTGTGCACAAACAATAAACAGGTGTGTTTTGTCTCTCTTTAAGTTCGCAAACTGCCGACGCGATGGAGTCTCTTATGAAAAATCTTGAAAAACATGTGACTTGTTCCATTTGTCTGGAAACTTACACCGAGCCTAAGACCATAGCTTGTCTTCATACATTCTGCTTGAAATGTTTAGAGGAGCACGCTTTAAAAACCCAAAGAAAAGGACAATTTCGATGTCCCGATTGTCAGGCACAAGTGAATATCCCAGATGGAAATTGTTTCGATAATTTGCCGACTGGCTTTCTGCAAAACAGTTTGTTGAGTCTTCTCGCTTTACGACAAAGTGGCGATGGAAGTCAGATTAACTGTTGTAATTGTAACGAAAAGAGCGCCGAGATCAGCTATTGCTTTGCTTGCGAAAAATTATTGTGCCGTGCTTGTGTTAATGCACACGAATTGTTTCGAGAGAGTGCCTTCCAAGGACACAAGGTGACGGCAGTGAAACAGTTTCAAGCCGTAGATTACGAGGCCTTGTTAAAGCGTCAGTCCTTTTGCCCTCAGTCTTACCACGAGGGAGAGGTAACCAGGTTTTTTTGCCTTGAATGCCAGATTTGTGTTTGTCAAGTTTGCGTAAACACTGATCACAAGAATCATAATGTTGATCCGATTGAGAAAGCAGCGGATACCGAGAAAGCAAACATTATAGTGGCAGTCGAGTCAATAGAACAAAAGAAGAAAGTCTGTAGCGATGCGATTGAAACCTTTCAAAAAGTTGTTGAAGAGCTGGAACGAAATGTTAAAGTTGCTAAACGAGAGGTTTCCCAAACAGCCGAACAAATGATCGAGAAGATTCGAGAACACGAGCGGGAAGCTATACAAATCCTAGAGAATATACGCGTGTCTAGAATAGAGAATATAAACTCTCTTAACGAGCAAGTAAAGTCATTGATCAAACAACTTGACCAAGCAGTTCAGTTCGCAATAGACCTGGTTGAGAGAAGCTCAAGTGCAGATGTTATGAAAAGTAAGAAGAGTTTAGAGCAGCGATGTGGAGATCTCGACAAGACCACAGTCCCTGCACTTCCGGTTAGCTCATTCGTGAAGTATTTCTCGACTAATGCACTTGACAATCTAAATCTGGGGTCAGTGATAATCAATAAAACAGATGTACGGTTGTCACCAGTGGGAACTCTTACTGAGAGTATCCAAGCTGGTCTGGAAGCAGAGCTTCTGGTTTGTCCAGAGCCAAAGGGTGAAGAAGAGCTTACAGGTAAATGCCAGCGTGAATTTGATACAAAAGTGCTCATAGAACCCGCTGAAGATGTAGCAAGTGTAAGAACTTTTAGAAAAGAAAATGATGATATCCACGTGAAGTTTTTTCCCACAGTACCTGGCACCTACAACATGACAGTTGAGATAAATGGCGACAAACTTGTTACCAGTCCTTTCAGGGTCCACGTAAAGGAACGAAGGATTGATGTTGTGGGCGAGTTACTTCTAAAGGGAGGAATTCTTGAAAGTCCAAATTGGGCTGCTTTTAACAGCAAAGGAACGATCGCTATAAGTGACCATAAAAAACACTGTATCTTAATGTTTGATGAGGAAGGAAATTTTATGCAAAAATTTGGCTGCTATGGAAAAGGGCGTGGGCAGCTGGGTTATCCAGCTGGATTGACATTTCTGAATGATGACGAGCTTCTGGTGGTGGATGAATATAATGGCCGTATTCAAAAATTTAGTGTAAAGAAAGGGAAATTTGTGAAGAGCTTTGGAAAGATGGGGACTGGAGACGGCGAATTTACAAGACCTGAAGGAATTTTTATAAATGATGAAGGACATGTCATTGTAGCGGATTGCTCTAACAACAGAATTCAGGTTTTGGACAAAGGTGGTAAATTTATGTTCAAATTTGGAGACAACGACCCTGGAAAGCTAAACCAACCTTGTGGATGTATTTATCACGAAAACAAGTTTATTGTAGCTGATAGTAAAAACCATTGTTTGAAAGTGTTTGACGAATCAGGAAAGTTCTTGTACAAGATTGGAGAAAACGGCAAAGCTGATGGACAGTTTTCATCTCCATGGGGCATCTGTGTTAAGAAATATGGCGATCATCAGAATCTTTTGGTGTGTGACAGAGGTAATGGACGCATTCAACAGTTTACAATGGAAGGTCGCTTTATTGGCAAAACTGTTGAGAAGCTTGGAGATCCAAAAGCAATAGCTACAACACCAGATGGTCGTATTTTGGTTTGTGACTATAAAGACAAAAAAATTCATATCTTGAAATAGACACTCGATTGTTTTGTGTGAAAAGGAATAATAATGTGGGAATGGTAACAGAGTTCACACTTTTACCATTACACTCAGCAAATAGTTTGTGCTGTGAACATGATTTGCCTAGAGATCCTTTAGGAGCATGGGATACTTGTAATAAATATTGAACCTTTGTCAATCTTTAACCTAGGAGGGAATATTCAAGTTTTAGCTTTTGACATATCTTTATATGATAGTTCTCAATTTTGCAGGATGGGGATGAATAGATGAATTTTTTGAGATTTTTTTTTATTGAAATAGGAAGCTTTTGTGCAAAGACTTTGTTCCTTGGCTAACTAAGACTCAAATACCAAACATGCTACTTTGAAAGCATGGGTATAGGCGATTCTAAGTCGGTTGATGAGTACAGTAGACAAGGTAACTGCGTAAAGAAGAAATAATTTCTGATCATTGTTCATGATGAAGAAAATAAGTTATAAATTTATAGTAATAACAAATTCTTTAACTAAAATAAGTGGTCAGAGGAGACTTTGAAATGTAGAACTAACTTTATAATTAGCAAACCAATCATTGAAGCGTAAATTAAATTAAAAGTGGTTTACTATAGAAAATTTCTTATATGTTTTTTTTCTTGAGGCTTCATGGGTATGAGCCATCTTTAAATCATGAAACCTGAGGGGGGGGAGGGGGAGGAAAATTTAAGCAACTGGCTAATTACTGAAAAAAAACTTTTGGAAGAGAATTGTAACGAGACCGTCCGTCTGTATGTGAACGAATCTGGAATAACAGTTCTAAAAAACTCAGAAGAGGAACTATTGTCTCCTGAAAACATGGATTTGTTCATCTTGGATACGTGGTTGCTCGTCGAGGTTTATCTTAAAAGAACCTTTGATCATTTTTGTCACGATTTAGTTTTCCTACGATATAGAGTAGCTATCGATTTCAGAGTCAAACTATCGATACTAAAACGATTGTCTTTACAACAAAATACAGTCAAACCCCAAGCAACTTTCTTACGAGGTGGTTTCTCATCAAATTCCCGGAATCCAACCCTATAGTTATCGTGAATTTGACCACTCTTACACATTCATTGTTACTAAATGGATGTGGATAGCCTTTTAAATTCCCATATAGCTTATTTTATTGTAATTCACCTCCTTTTAAACGCCGAGCCACTCATTTGATAAACTAGCCACAATCAAGAAAAAGAGAGGTTTGATAGTACGATGGTTCAAAGGAATTTTAACTCACAGAGTTCACAGTTATTTGAAAAATAAGTGATAATTTAGAGGAGTGCATGTTGTGGTAAAAATACGGTGTTTTGGAGGGTAATTCAGTTGTTAAACCAAACGCCCTCGTTTTCCCACGAGTTTTTAATTAATCCCATCATGTATTGCGCTAAAACAGATGTGCCTGTCTACTACTAGGCGAGGAGTTGTAAAATGTCTGCCGAAGTGTCGTGGACGCGATGCTCAATTTGAAAAATCACTGTTACTTGCGGCGCCCTTCTTGCTTGGTATCAACAACTGTTTAGAAAGGTCTTGCAAGCTACGTTTTTGACTTTTGTAAAGCCCACATCTATGGCATACTTCGTGCAGTTTGACCCTGCTATGAACTAATGCATTTTTGTTTCAACGAGGAACAGAACTTCGAAGGAAGGGGATGTGAGCTCAGTTGTTTACCAATGACAGCATTTGATGGATCATTTACTCAAGGACTTCGTAGAAAAGGTGTATCCGGTCGGTTCTAGAGCAAAAAAATGCATATTTGTCTTGCTAGCTAACATAAACGTCCAGTCCTCCTTTAGATGAATTACTATCACTATTCAGACTTTGGTTTGCCGCTCGGTGAGGAAACTTTACTGGATTATAGCGTGATTATCCTCCTTAGAAATGCAACGAGCCTCAGCGACCAAACGTCCTCGATGCTATATCGTTGATTAGCTGTCGCATTCACCTTCATTTACGGATCTAACCCTTGACGTGTAAGTTGTTTATATGGTGAGTTACCCACTCTATATTTTACCTAAATTTTTGAGGAATAATTTGCGTATGATAGCTTTTGCTTTGAAAACTAAAATGTAAGACGGGATACTTTCTAAAACACGCGTTACTTAATTTTGTTCAAGGATCACTCTAAGATGTTGTGTGGCTCTTTTATCTAGATATTTGTATTATGTTTCTTCGCTATTTTTCCACATTTGATATTTTGGCGTGACATTCACGGTAGGCATTTTCAGTTGGAAGTTTTCCTTCATAATTCTGATTAGGGGCGATGAAGTAGATTACGGTCCTCAATAAGATTTGAAGTAGGTATCTACCCAACTTTAAGCAAGCGTCTTTGGCAAATGAACATGAAACAATGGTTGGTACAAGTAGACCATACAATAAGGTATTATGTATCTCAGTCTGAGAAGTTTACAATCAATTATCATATACTGCGTTCTGTCAAAATCCCTGTAGATATTGCAATTACATTGTTCCTGACCGAAATAATAAACGTCAAGATCTCTTCTACTGATCCTATTTATTGTTTATCACAGTTTTACTTTCATGTTAGGTTCAAAATATTGGTTTGAAGAATCATTGTTGTGCCTTTTTATGCCAAAAATTATCAAAAACAAATGACATGAGACTAACAAGAGATACCATGTGGGATGATTTTGCCTGATGGTATTAAAGCCAAAAGAAGCTAAAGAAGCTCTTGATTATTGGACAAATTCTCCTCGTCAGCACCCAAGGAAATGTATAGAGAACAGTATGGAGAATATGCATAGTGATGTTAGGGTGTACAGGGTTAAAGCCACCCTCACATCATTAGAGTTAATTTCTTCCTTACAATTTGTCATTTTATCCAATCATCAAGCTATTTTGAATAAATCTAGAGAAGGCTAGTGGTCTGATGTCTTAGATAAATAAATTGAGAGATGTGATTAAAAAGCAAGGATACAGAAAAATGGACATTTCTAAGACACATCTTTCATAGGATATGAATGTGCAATAAATATTATAGTATGAATTTTATGCTTTATTTATTAGTTTATTGATTTATATTCATTGAATTTAAAAGAGACTGAAATTGTGCTGCTTGAAATTGATAGGGTTTGGGAGTAGTGAAACATCTAAAAGAAGAGAGGATTATTTACTATTCCTGTCAAATTTATCATCATTGTTTATCACTGTACCTGAAAAAAAAAAAAAAAAAAGCAAAAAGTTAAGTTATAGAATGAAATCAATTCCTATTTTCCAGCTGGAATTCAAGTGATAACATTAATACTGTGAATTTACATAAGGGTTCCAAAGATTAGACAAAAAAATTAAGGTCAGGGTTTTTATTTATGATTTCCTTTCTACTGGTATGCCTGTGTTAGACTGCTAAAAAAATCATCTCTCACTTTGTTTGAATTTGGACAAATGACAGAATATTCAATGTAGTCTTTAAAATAAATATGTAGTCTGTAATATAGGTATTGTTGTAAGTAGAATAAGATAGATGGAAAGTTTTGAGCTTGGAAAAGAATTAGGGAGAGATTTTTTTTCTGTCTTGGACAAGGCAAAATTCTGAGTGCTCCTATGCTATACCACTGAGCCACAGGGACTCTGGTGAGCAAGGCCCATTACAAATTTCATGCACAAAACATTATTGTGGTTCAGATAAACAACGTAACAGACATTTTATTCAACCCCCAAACATACAAAGGACATCCTCCTGTGCATGCGCCAATACATTTGTGTTGCGTAAGAAACTATGACATTTCATGCACAAAACATGACACCAGCAATTTTGATGATCCTACCAGTATGCAGGAGGTGTGTCATATGTGAACTTTGTGATGGGCCTTGCTCACTATAGCTCCTCTTTAGTTCAGAGGTAGAGCATCAGAGTGTGGAATCCGAAAGTCTGAAGTTCTATTCCTTGTGGGACTCAGAATTTTTCATTTGTCCCATGCTTGTGACAAGATGAAAAAACATCTTTTTCTATAGGTATTCTTGTTTCTAAAATTTCTTTTCCAGTTTCTTTGTATCAATTCAGATGTAATTTACATAAACAGCTGAAGCTTTTTTTTATCAGTGAAGCTGTTGTTAATAGATGGGATTTCATCAAAAGTGCATGTGTCCATGAAGAAGAATTATTTTTCAGTTCAGCTTCCCTAATGGTCAGTCTTGCAGTTTTATTTGTGGATTACTCGTTGTTATGTGGGTTCATTAATCTTTCGGTTGTTCTTTTTTCTGTCCATTAAAACTGACACTGCATTGTAGGATTCTGGGATAGTTCACTCATTGAACCACAACTGAACAAGCATCACAAGAGAGATTTGATCGTGACATCTGTCAGTGACTCCACAACTCGCAGATCCAAGAAGAAACTACCTAACATCCCTCCTGAGGAATTAGCACTGCATGGAAATGGAGGATCATGGGAAGGTGTTGATTTGCCACCTGAAGTGCAGGTGCAATTTATCAGACATGTGCATAAAAGATCTCGTTCATTGACAGGGCTGGGTATGACTGAGTTTGAAAAAAAGTTGCAGGCTGAAGCTGAAAAGAAAAATGTGAAGCCAAAACCTTTACTTGAGCAAAGTTTAGCAGCACCAAAACAGAAGCAGTTGATTGGAAACAAAGATGAGAGGACAACATTTGCACTTTCTTTGCCATCAACTCCAGGTATGATTGCAAAATGATGAGGTTATCTTTTTCTGTTTCATTGGGTGTGACTTTGAGTTTTGTTACTCCCATTGGATGTGATTCTAGTCCATCAAAGTTTTCCCTAGGTCTTTTATCAGGCCTCCCTGACAGTTATCTGTTGCCTGTTTATACTCCTGG